TCTTTTCGCTTGAGAACGATCCGGAGAAAAGTCGGCCAGGAATCGTTTCTCGCCTTCCAATTGTAGGTTGGTTCAGATCTCAGACGACAAGGTATCCAACGACCCCGTCGGCCCGCTGCAGGGAAGGCAGTGGACGTCACGGCGGCGAACGAAACGGACCCCTTTTTGCGGGGCTTGCAGAACCTCCGGAGCCCCCGAAGGCCGATAGAGAATGAGTTGGAAGGTGGGAGACCACGGCGGCCTTGGGTCCGGGCGCGGGAGCCCGGCGCCGCAAAACCGGGGCGCCCCGACGGGCCCCCCGCTCGGCCTGGAGGCCAAGAAAGGTGGGTGTGTGCGTGGGGGGGCGGCCAAAACTTTCCTGTCCCGCGCTCGAGCTGCTTTCGGCAGGAGCCGGAAGACGCTGTGTGTGGACGGAATTCGGGACCGATTGACCCACGGGCGGCTGCAGGGGACGTAAGGTGAGCTCCAGGGCGGGCCGGGCCACCCTTGCTGGGCCTGGGCGGGTCCCCCGCCAAGAGAGGAACCCAGGACCAGCTCCTCGGGGGCTCGGGCCCAGGGCGCCCTCGGGGGGGACAGGGAAACCGCCCCCCTTAGGCACCCCTGCGGGACCTGGCGGGCCCGGGAGCGGCCGGGCTGAAGCCCCACGGCGTGGACCCTTCCCCTCGCGGGGTTTTGGGCCCGATGTTTCGGCTCCTTTGCTTGGTTTTGGGGGCCGGGGCGTGGGAACCAGACCGTCCCGAGAAAGCCGGAGTCAGCGAGTCCCGTGGGCGGGGGCTGCCGGGCTGCACTGGCTGCCGGGCCTGCCCGCGGACCTGGGGCCCGACACTGAGGCCGTCGTCCTGGGGAAATGTGATGCCAGAGGGACTCTGCCCGGGACATTTCATCCCCGAGCTGCCCCTTCTTTCATACGCCCCTTACTTTCTGGGTCTGGAAGAAGGAAGGCTGCCGACTTGGAGGGGCTGGACTGCGGTTCTGCTCCGCCTGTCATTCCAAGGCGGGGGTGTGGGCTGTGGGCTGTGTGCACAGCCTGTGTGCATTTCGCAGGTTGGATTTATCCTCTGTAGTTTCTTCAAATAACAGCTACAATTAGTTTATTAAAGTTTGTTGCACTTGCTCATGAGACTCTGAAATGCATTTAGGCACTACTTGGAGGTTAAATACTATTAACTTGGGACCTAAGAATTTGCACTTCTTCCTCACTTTGGCAAAAGGTCAGTGCAGCGTATTTTCAAAGAGACTAAAAAAAAATAACATTTTGAAATAAAGTCAGGGACATTTTGTTGTTAAGGAAGAAATTCCACTTTGTGTTATCTTAGTTGTGGACACAGTATAAAATCAACTAAACTAGCAGAAGGTTCTAGTTTTTAAAGTTCTACATCGAAGTAGATGCCTAATTTTTGGCAAGTTACACAATCTCTAGCTTTAGGCTTTTTCTTTTTTCTTTGTAAATTAAAGAGCTTACCTATTTATCCAGCAAATATTTCCTGAGTGTTTACTTTGTACACAGCGTCGTCCTAGGTTAATGGAAGAAGGGTGAATAAACTCAAACCTAACCAATGAGAAAAATTTCCATGTAGACAACTAACACCCTGAGGGAAATGAAATAATTGCTAAAAGAGGGGTTAAAATGTTTTGTGAAAACACGGAGGTAAGGACAGATTTGTTCTGACTGGAGGGAAAGGATCAGAGTCTTAATGGATGAGATGGCATTTGAGTTGAATTTTAAAGGCTGGGAAGGATTTCACAAGATCAGATCTAGATTGGGGGTGTTTATTACTGATTGAAGACCTAGCCCAATCAAAGACCTTGAGCACTGACAAAGGTTAGTGTGTTCATTTAATAGCGAATTTAGTGTGGCCTGCAGTAAATAGTTTATTAAGGAATATAGTGGATGCTGGTGTCTGAAGACATGTAGAATACTTAAAATGCCATGCTTAGGTGTTTGACTACTGAGGCACTGAACTTTGAGTTAGGGGAATAATACAAACATTTCTATGTTTTGGAAAGGTAACTCGAGTGGTTGTGTAAAAGATGGATTGGAAAGGGGCATTTTAAGGGCTGGGTGGCCAGATAGAAGTCTATTTTAATACTGTAGTTGAAAGATAATGAGAGACCTAAACAGGGCATTACACTAGGAATACATTTGGGGGAATCAGAACCACTGGGATTATTTCAGTAGGGAAGATGAAAGGGATTGTTAAAGATCGAGAATTTGCAGCTGAGTGGGAGGAAGATTGGGCAATAATTGAAATGAATGCTGCAGGAAGAAGAACAGGTTAGGTGGTGGAGATAGTAATCTGGATTCAGTACATTGTTAGGTTGGGTTGCTGTTGGATAGCTATGTGGAGATAGTAGCAAGCAGTTAGAAATGAAAGTTTGAAGTTCAGAAGAGGTCAGGAATAGAGACAAAAATGTAGGTATCATTTGCAATGTCATTCATTTATTATACAGATATTTATTCAGTGCCTACTAGGTGCTTACACGGAACCCTGTGTGGAAGCCCTTTAAGCTTCAGTATCAGAAATGACACTGGAAAACCTAAATTCCTTATGACTTACATAAAGTGCTATGCCAGGTGCTGGGAAATATAGTAGTGAACAAGACTAGTTCTTACCCTTGTTTATGGAGCCTGCAATTTATGGGATAGCCCAACAAAAAAATAAAGACTGTATAAAAACAAATGAAAGAATTAGAAATTGTGATTAGTGAAGATGGTAGAGGGTGTATGGCGAACCTTCCTTGAGTAAGGTATCAGGGAAAGCCTTTCTAAATGAGTTAACAGTTAAACTGAACTACGAAGGATTAAAACAAACAAAAAAAGAGCTAACCAATGGAAGAGAATGGCAAAAGCATTCCTAGGTAGAGCAAATGTCATGTGCAAATCCATAATATAAGAAAGAGCTTCATGTGTTCTCCGAGCTAAGGGAGCTTCCTCTGGCTG